AATAACTATGTACCTGCCTTAAAAAATTGGTTCTCAAAAGAAATTTCAATTGTCGCACTGTTGGTATTTGGCTCTGCTGACCAATGAGTTTGCCGACTGCTGCCTTATGTTACTTATTTTCCTTCTTAGCATTTACCACCCCCTGGCATAGCCTACAGGTATTTCTATTATATTCATAGTCCCTCCCAGTGTGTCAGCTTCAGCAGCTGCCTGGTCTGTCCTGAACTCTGTTGCACCCACAGCACACACACACACACACACACACACACACACACACACACATCAGCAATTAATATGCACTGAGCACTTGCTATGGGCCAGGCACAGTTCCAAGCATTTTACATGTAGGAAATCACGTGGTCCCTTACTCTAAGGGAGGTGCCATTTTAATCCCATTTTCACTGATGAGGAGAGTGAGGCACAGAGAAGTTCAGTGACCTGCCTGAGGTCACACAGACCGGAAGTGGTAGAGCCAGGATTCACCCCCGGGCAGGTGAGATGTGAGAGTCCAGAACTCCTAACTCCGGTGCTGGTCCATCCACTACGGTGCTCCATCAGGACAAGGATGAAGGAAAACTAGGCAGAGAGGAATAAACGCACTGCTCCCTCCCCACCCCGCTGGCTCTGCCTCAGAGACATCTTGCTCCTGCATGGCTAAAGGAAAGAGAGGCAGGAGGGGCCCATTTGAATGGTCACCCCACAGACAAGTGGCCGTCTTCGGTTGCTTCAAATTGGCCCCTGTGGTATTGTGGTTTATGCAGGCACACCTTGTCCGATTGCGCTCCTCCCCTCGGTGCTTCTGGATGTTGCATTTTTTTATAAATTGAAATCAAGGCCTTCCACTAGCAAAAATATGATGACTCAGCCGAAACTGGTTTGGCTCAGTGGACAGAGCATCAGCCTGCGGACTGAAAGGTCCCGGGTTCAATTCCAGTCAAGGGCATGGACCTTAGTTGTGGGCACATCCCCAGTAAGGGGTGTGCAGGAGGCAGTTGATCGATGATTCTCTCTCATCAATGTTTCTAACTCTCTATCCCTCTCTTCCTCTCTGTAAAAAATCAATAAAATATATTTTTTAAAAATATGACGACTCACTTTACTGCAGTGGTCTAAGGTATGCCTGTGTAAGTAAGGTCACTTCACTGGGAGTGTCTTATCACTCCTATTTTGTTCTAATGTTTGTTCTTTTGTTGTTGTTGTTGTTTTTGCTTAATCCTCGCCCAAAGATATTCTTTTTTCCCATGGATTTTTAGAGAGAATAGGAGGGAGGGGGAAAGACAGAGAGATTGTTTGCCTCCCCGCACTCGCCCTGGGATGGAGCCTGCAACCGAGGTACATGCCCTTGATGTGAAATCAAACCTGGAACCCTTCAGTCCATATTTGTTCTGTGGCCTCATATTCTGGAATAGCTCCAGAGCCACAGCGGGGAGACCAGTGTCTGTTATTCCCATCAAAGCCCTTTCCATCATGTTACTGGGTGACTTTCCGAAGCCCTGAAGGATGGATCGGACTGGTTGCCAAGGAAACCAGCCACATGATTCAAGGTTGGAACTTTCAGCCAACCGGCCCCCTACCTCTGGTTAGAGACAGCAGCTGGAGTTGGAACCCATCAGCAATGGCCAATGATGTAATCAATCGAGCCTGTGTAATGATGCCTCAAAAAACAAAACAAAAAAAAAACTAACCCCAAAAGCATGAGGGCTCCTCAGTTACTGTCTCCGTGGAGGTGCTGGGCGGGTGGTGCATCAGAGAGAACATGGACATATCCCCTCCCCCAACCCCAAACCTACCTCCTCGGTCTCTTCCCACAGAAACCTTGCCCACCATCTCTTCTCTCTGGCTGTTCCTGAGTCTGGGTTGTATCCTTGGTCATAACTGGTAATCGAGTGAGTACCCTGTTTTCCTGAGTTCTGGGAGCAGCTCTGGCAAGTTGACCAAGCCCAAGAAGGGGGTCGTGGAGCCTGGGGGTCATAGGTGATGGGGCAGGAGCACAGGCGCACCCGGGACTGGTGCCTGGCCTCTGAAGTGCGGACAGCCCTGCGGGACTATGCCTGCTGCCTGCGGGATCTGACGCCATCTCTGTGAGGGGCAAAGACAGAACAGTGGAGAAGAGCCATCATTATAAGCAATATTAACCATGCTCGATTAACTGTGATTGCCTTGTTCTGGTTAAAGAAAGGACATCCTAACCTGGCTGGGAGTTGTACACCCCCGGGACCTGGGAGTCAACCTTGGTCTGGCAGCCAACCTTGGAACGAGGTCCATTTCATTCAAGAACTGCCTAGTATCGTGGAAAGATGAACAACCTTGTTGCCCAAACAATGGAGCCCCGTCCCAGCCCTGTAATCCCTGGCCTGCCCTGCATACGCAGTGGGCTTGTGGGGGGCTGCAGAACGCCTGTTTGTGGATGGCCTGCTGCTTCCCATGCAGCGCTGGAATAAACGTTCATCTATGACTCAGCTGCTGGCTCTGCTTAACCGGCTCCAGTAGTGACAGGCAGCCTGGGCCCCTTGGTTGTTGGGGTTCATCTCCAGGCAGGTAGCGTGGGCATTGAACTGCTCGGTGTGTCGAGAGAGAAAACCACATTTGGTGATCAGAAGTGCCACAAGCAGAAGGTTGAGAGGAAGACACAGGGATGGCTTTCTACCTGTGACTACCCCAGCATACAGACGGGGATACCGGACCAGGGAGGCGGAGGGAGGGGGGCAGCAGAGCACAGCAGAGGGTGGTCACAGGTAGAAACCACAGGAAGGGGTGTGGGGAGGAAATACACCTGCCTCCTCCCTCCCCTCCCACCCGGTCTCCTGTTGGTGCCTTCCCAAGGCAAACCCTGCTGGAAGGCTGAGGCGGGGTCGGGCATGTGGCCTGCAGGGGGCAGCCTCGGGCTACAGAGCTGGGCGGACAGAGGAACTAGAGGGGTGTGTGCAGAACCACCCGCACATGGCTGGTCTCTCACTGCCCTCCCTCGCCAGCGCTCAATGTAGCCAAAGGGGCCACCCAACCTCCTGGTAGAGGCCACGAGGGCCACCCTCCGCCTGGCCCCTACCCCCGTCCCTGGAGACATCTTTCCAAAACACAGATCTGGCGGCCTCTCCCCACTGGTTCCAGCTTTCAGAGAATCCCCTTCCCACCCAGCAGGAAGTCCTTAGGACCTGGCTGCTCCCCTTCCCGCTCGCTGCACCCGCACCCCTCCACCACCCTCCACCCCTGCCCCAAGTGTCAGCTCCTCCTCTCCTACTACAGGCCTCTCCTAGGAGCTGCTGCATCCCAGCACCTGGAGCTACAAGTACAGGAAACACTCGTGAAGAGGCACAAGGACCGAGGAAAGACAGGAGAGGCAGACAAGTGTAAAAACACAAACAGGTTTATTTATAAGCAGGAATGCTGCCCAGCAACAGTGCAAACTCTCATTGTCTGGGATCAACACAAGCTGGGGAACTGAGGCTACATCCTGAAAGGGTCTCTCTTTAATACATGGCTTCCCAGCTCTGCTGGGGGGGGATGGGGGAGAGAGGGAGGGAAAAAGGAGGCTTGAGAGCCTCCCGGAACTGTCCACCAGGGGGCAGACCTGCTCCACAACCACGCAGGGTCCAACGTGGGCAGAGACCCAGAAGGTTCCAGGTAGTTCGTTGGTAAGCACATCTTGATTCCACGGTGGGGAGCCTCTTGTGTCTCCATGGCAATTCCTGGACTCTCCGGCTCTCTAAAAGTTCAGCTGCAAAGTTCAAGTCTTTTTCAACAAAGATCCAAGTACCACGGACTCGAATGGCTTGTCCAGGAGCCCCAGTCCCTTTCCTTCCCCCTCTGCAGGGAGTGCAGTGTGTCGGGGGGGAGTGGACAGGCTCTTTAACAGGGAAGGAAGCCCTGGCAAAACTCTTGGCTTCAGCTGCTTCACGAAGGCCGTTCAGCCGACATCAGCTACACGGACCCACAGCACGCAACACACACACACACACACACACACACACACACACACACACACACACAGACTGGCTCTCGGCATCTCCCATCCACCTGGGATGGCGACAGGCACAGTACGAACGCGGTCCCGCGGCTCCCCGGGGGGCCTGGGACTCCAGGGGCGGCGGGAAGAGGTGGAGGGAACAGGAGCGCCCCTCGGGAGTCCAAAAAGGAAGGCCCAGGCTGAGGTAGAAGGAGAAACGTGGCCGCAGGAGCTGGGTCTCCGGGTCCTGAGATTCCCTGATAGGAGTGTGGCCGGGGAGCCCACACCAGACGGCTCAGGAGGGGCGGGCGGGCGGCGGGGTGGTTGCTCTGGGGAAGCGGGCGTGAAGGTCAAAGGCGGAGAAGGCACTCTGAGACATTGGCTTTGTGGTGCTGCTGGCTTGTTTGCATGGCGTTGAGGGTTTTTTGCTGTTTTTAAACTGCCACGTATTGAAATTAGACTGCCTGTGAGAGGTCTGCCATCTTGCCCGGGGCAGGGCATCATCCAGGCCTGGTGCTGGGCCGCGGGGGGGTCTGATTTCCACACCACGTACAGGAGGCGGGACCAGTGGGAAAGGATTTGAGGTGGTGCTTCCCCAAGGTCCTTAGCTAACCAGGGTCCCCCCCGCCCCCCCCGGCACAGAGCCATCTGGCTGATGGCAGCCTCTCCCCCTCTGGGACCACCTGCAGGCTCAGCATCCAGGCTGATGGGCTGCCCCTTATCCATGAATGACCCCACAGCGCCCCGCCCCCATGGCCTCTCTGGACGCTGGAACCTCACAGGAAGCCGGAGCCCAGAGATGAAACAAGGAGTTCAGAAGCCAGGGCCACAGCCCAGTGAGAGGGCAGCGAGGGGTGGCAGGGACCACGCCGGGCTGCCCAGCATGTCCAGGTATCCTTGGATACCCATGACCCGAGGGGTTCTCTGACTCCCCCTGCCTGCCAGGCTGTGGAGGCCACGAAAGGACTTGGCCTGGAAGGAGCCAGAGTGCCGGGCATGGGGGCTGGGAGGCCCCAAGGCCAGCTCACTCAGCGGCGCCTCGGCCCCCGCCGGCCAGTTAGCTGGGCTTCGTGCCTGCCTCAGGCACGCCCAGGCTCAGGGGCTTCTCCTCCAGGCTCTGCCGCAGAGTCCTGGGGGCCCCGCGCGGGGACCGTACAGGGCACTCCTCCTTGGAGAAGGGGACGTGCTCGTCCTTCGGGGAGCCGGAGGGGCTGCGGCCCGCGTTCCCCGCCGTGGCACTGGCCTGGGAGGAGCACCGCGAGCCGTGCTCAGAGCTGCTGCACAGGTTCACGATGCAGGTGACGTTGACGTGGGTCCCGCAGCTGCCGGGGGAGGACTCTGCAGACAGAAGAGGAGAGGGTGTCAGCCGGGGTCTCACGGTGGGGAGGCCATCATGGCCTGTCCCCTGCCTGAAGGCCGGTTACATGTGGGAGAAAGCACGGGGCCCATTGGTGGTCGTGTTTTTTAAGAGAATTGGCCAACATTTAAAATTCAGGAATCCTATCTAATAAAAGAGTAATAATATGCAGATTGACCATCACTCCAACAACAATATGGCTGCCCGCCCCCTGGTGGTCAAAGATCCTGCCCCCATGTGGACACAAGATTGCCAGCAGGGGAGAGCAGTTGGGAGGGACAAGGCCTGCAAGGGAGGGCAGTTGGGGGTGATCAGGCAAGTAGGGGAGGGCAGTTGGGAAGCATAAGCCTGAAAGGGAGGGCAGTTGAAGGCAAGCAACACTGCAGGGGAGGGCAGTTATGGGTGACCAGACCGGCAGAGGAGGGAAGTTGGGGGCAAATGAGCTGGCAGGGGAGCAGTTAGACATCAATCAGGCGGGCATGGGAGTGGTTAGGGGGTGATCATGCTGGCAGGCAGAAGTGGTTAGGGGCAATCAGGAAGGCAGGCAGGTGAGCAGTTGGGAGCCAGTAGTCCTGGATTGTGAGAGGGTCCCAGATTGGAGGGAGTGCAGGCTGGGCAGAAACAACCCCCACTCCCACCCCCTTGCATAAATTTTGTGACCGGGCCTCTAGTTAAGAATAAAATAAAATTGCACCTTTTCCAGGATTGGCTTCTCCCAATAAACTTTGGTTCCATTAAAAACAAAAAATGAATAAAATAAAATTCATGAATTTACGTATTTAAAATCTGATTTATGGCTTCCCTCCGAGCCAGATGTGAGCGATCTGGCCATGGAGGGTCCCCACACCTGAACACTGCTGGCAGGAAGGACTTCCGGCCACAAGCTCACCCCACTTGCGCCCACCCCATGGGCATAAGAGTTTCCTAACCAGGCAGCATGGGACAGAATGATGGAGGAGCCAGGAGATGAATGTAAGGGATCGGAGGCACAAGAGCCTCTCACAAGGTGACGGCTGCTGCTGGGACTGTGGGGACCTGCTGAGCATAGGCCAGTGTGGTGCCAGGAGCACAAAGGGGACTGGCTGGCTATTCTCCATCTCCCCCCAGCCCAGCCCAGCCCCCGCAACCCCAGGGGATCTGAGATGAGGTCAGAGCTGGTGAGCTCGCACTCAAAACAACCCCAAAGAGGCCAGGGCAAGGCAAGGCTGAACTCGGGGCCAGAAGGAAATTTCCACCTGCGTCTGCATGGCACCCAAATGTCACCCAGGTCACCATGGCCTTTGCACACCGTGAGCGAGACACGGTGGGGGCGGATGGGGGACCACAAGGGGCGCAGTGCGGGGGTTTACCCTAACCCACAGAGGCGAGAGGTGCTGGTGGGTGGGAGGGACAGAGGGGAATGCAGAGGCCAGAGAGGCAGGAGGGGAACAGAGAAGGGGCAGAGGGTGGAAGGGAAGACAGACATGGTCCGAGGTCCACACGGGGGCCCAGGAGGAACCCGCACCAGGCTGACCGTGGAAGAGGCATCACCAAGGATCACGAAGCCGGTGGGCCCCCTCCACTTACCTGAGCTCCCACCAGCCTGGGCCTCCCCGGACCCGCCGGGCTGGTTCCTGGGGGGCGGCCCCCCGTGCGGAGCGCTGGCCGCGCTCTCCAGGGAGCTGCTGCTGGAGCTGGGCGCCGTGGTCAGCAGGTGCTGCTGCTCGGAGCCAGGAGTGACCGGGGCCTTCTCAGCAGGTAGGTGAGGCTGGAGGGAGGGAGGAGGGACAGCGGTCAGGCCTCCAGCCAGCTCCCCTCCCTCCCACTTCCTCCTCCTCACCACCATCTGCACCGTGTCACAGCCCTTCACCCTTTACGTGCTTCTACCCACAGTGCGTGTTCTTTCCACACTAAGTGCCCTCGGTGGTGTCTATGACTAGCACCTGCCTGCGCTGCTTGAGTGCCAGCCCTCGTCGGGCCAGGCTCAGGGGGCCCTGTTCTCTCAGTGGTCCTCTCCTCAGAGGTGGGGCAGGACTGGCATCCTCACTTGGCATGAGGAAGTGGAGACCCCGAGGAGAGTGACTCTCCTAAGGTCACCCCCTCAGCACACGGCCCGGCAGCCAAGAGCATGGGTTCCGGAGCCAGACGCACGGGTGCAAACCATGACTTCATCGCTCACGAGCCGTGTGACCTTGAACAAGTGACTCAGCCTCTCTGGGCCTCCGTTTTTCGTCTATAAAGGGGGAATAACAACCCACCCGTTAGGGTCACTGTGAAGACTAAATGGCTGTGTAAATGGTAAAGTGCTCAGAACAGCAGCTGTTCCACAGAAAGCTCCATACAAGGGTTTGTGAAATCAGGGGCCACACCTTCCCCCACTGCCAAGGATGAGGGTGAGATGAGAACTGAGGCGAGGGAAGGGTTGGTGAGATGTTATCTTAGCACGGTGGAGAGAGGTGGGAGTCAGAGGGTGAGCGTTTGCTACAGGGTGGGGGACACAGGCACGTTAGATCCCCTCCCCAGGGAACAGAGACCCCAAGGGTGTGCTCTGAGCAGAGGCATAATGCCTGATTCCTCCCGGGACTGGCCAGTCACCGCAGGCCCCGCCCGCAGCCCCGCCCACACTGGCTGTGGCCTCTCCCACCTGAGCCCCGAGGAGCCCTCGATACCCTGAGGCCAGCTCATCCCTCTGACAAGGAGGAGCCTTCTAAGGTAGCCATGGAGGCCCAGAGAGGGTGTGTCCCTGCTCTGATCACACAGCTGGTCCATGGGAGGGGCAGGACCAGCCCAGAACAGTGTCCCCACGCTGGTAACTGTGTCCTGACTCCCTGGCTCACCCCTCCCCCAGTGTTCAAGGGAAGGAGGGCATTTCTAGATTTCTAGTTCACGCTGAACTGCCCACTCCTAGCCCTGAACTGGGACAGGAGGGGGGGAGGGCGCATCCAAATGTCATTCCTCACAACCCCAGCGAAGGGGCTTTCACAGCAGAACAGAAACCCCCAAAGGTCACGGCTGCCTCCCTCCCGCCCCCATGGCCACAAGCTGCAAAGTTCAGACAGGCTCTGAGTGGGGCCGAAAAATCCTGAGTGCTGCTCCTTGGGCTGGGACCCTAGAAACAGGGGGGGGGGGGGGGGGGGCAGAGGGAGTTCATGCAAAAAAACAGGATCCCAGCCAGCCAGAGCCCCAGGCAGAACCACCACTTGGTCCTCCAGAAGAGGGTCCACGTCTGTCTGCATGTGCGAGTGTGCGTCCATGAGGTGCACAAACCTTCGTGTACAGGTGTGTGTGAAGGTATGTGAAGTGTACACACACACACACACACACACACACACGCGCTCGCGCGCGTCTATGGGGGACATGTGTGCACATCGGCTGAAGGTGATGAAGACAGGCACGCCTAGGGCTGTGCCCCAGGCCACACATTAGCTGTGTGGTCTCGGGAAAGTTACCTAACAGCTCTGAATCTGGGCCGTAAAACTGGAGCAATCACCTCACCGCCTGTGTCGCAGCACGGCTGTGGGCCTATGTTCAGCGCCTCATCAATGCTCGCTCTCGTTATTAAATGTGAGCGTGCACAAGTGTGTCTGTGCGGGTGACTGTGGGTGAGCGCACATAGGACGGAACGCTGACCTTTCCTAAACGAGGGGAAGCCACTGTCCCATCAGGCCTTGGGGTTCCTTCCGCAGCAGCAGGAGGGATGGGGCGGAGCTCACTCTCCGCCCCAGCAGCCTAGACCTGGGGCGAGCAGGCAGCCTCATAGCAGGGACCATAGCTAGCAGCCAGGAACAGAGCGGGCGCTGGCTAGACGAGGGAGTGGGAGCCTGGGCACTGAAGGGCATCTGGGAAGGTGGCCAGCCTCTGAGGGCAGCCCTCGGGGGGGGGTGAGGGGGGGAGCCATGGCGCTTGAACAGCCCTGAATGCCTGGCCCGGCCAAACCTGCAGACTCAGGTTTCCAACCTGGGCTCAGTCACTTCCTTAGCAGCCTGGCCTCATACGGGGAACAGAACCTCCTTGAATCTCGGTTTCCTCATCTGTGAAAGAGGGTGACTGTCCTGCAGTCAGAGCCGTGCGCAAGGCCAGCTCAGACCTGTGCGCCAGTCTTCCCAGGTCCACACTGGGCAGCTTGAAACTGGACAGCGAGAGTGTTTATGACACAGAACTGAGCTAACACCACAAATCAGGGGTTCGGGGGTTTTGCCCTGCTCGGAGGGCCCGCTGCCAGCACACTGTTCTGTACCCAACAGCACTCCAAAACAGTGTGAGCGGCGTGGCTCACGCTCGGTGAGCACAGAGCTCTGAGGGGGAAGGGGAAGTGAGGCTGCGGGGTCACACCTGGGACACTCGCTGCAGGGGCTGTTGGGAAACACTTGGCCGGGAAGGAGAGAGACGGCAGCTGGGCTGCTGGGAGGAGCCCGGAAGGCACACTTGCCCTCTGTGCCACCCCTCGGCAGCTGTCAGCATCACCGCCTGGAAGCCAGAAAGAGGAAGGAGTGGCGTTCGTACCCTTGGGGGGAGGATGAGAAAATGTCTCAACTCCCAAACCAGTGCTCCCATCTGCGGGAATGCTGCAGAGCCGGAGCCCAGGGGCACGGTGCTGTGTGACCTGGGGCAAGTCACTTTCTCTTTGCTCGTCCACAAAATCAGGACGTGAAATCAGTTGCTGGTCTGACCAAGTCCCAAGTCCTAGTGAGCCTCGGGCACTGGGCTGCCCAGGGCTGAGTGGCTCCCCAGCACCATGGCTCCCAGCTGGGGATGGCTCTGCCCTGGAGGTAGGGGGGGGCATTAGCACTGTCTGGAGACACCTTCGGCTGTCACTCCGTGGAGGCAGTGCTGCTGCCATCCACTGGGGAGAGGTCAGCCTATTGCTGAGCAGCCTGCAAAGCACAGGACAGCCCCCAAGGCTGAGGAACCCTGCCCAGCAGGAACGGAGGGGGGTGTGGGAAGAGGAGGGAGGAACTGGAGGGAGCTCTTTCCTCGTCTGTAAAAGCAGGTATAAACCCTGCCCTGCCTACCAGATTCAGGAGTGCAGCAGCCACTGTGTTCTGGCTCACCGACACCCATTTCCAAGCCCTCTCCCTTGTCTCCCTCCACCACAGAGGCCGGGAAAGCAAAGGGACTCCTTTGCAGCCAGGGATGGTCACGTGACACCTTTCAGGCCAATGAGACAAAAGGAGAAGTCTACCCAGGGCTTTTGGGAGAACGCTGATTTCCTAATAAAAGGCACCAAAGCTGGCCACGACCCCCTCTTGTGCCCACCTCAAACCCGAGGTCACAGGAAGTGGTGATCACACTCCCAGGACATGAAGCCACAGAAAATAGGACAAATGCCAACACACTAAAGATGGCGGAGCCTGGGGTCCTACTGCCCCTGAGAAGGATGCAGGTGAACTATTCCAGCAGCCGTAACCCCTCGACCTCTTGGCACGGAAGAAACATAAGCCCTCTTGCTAAGTAACCCTTATGTTTTCAGTTACTTGTGGCCAAATGCCCTCCTGACTCAGAACTGGTCACAGACCCTTCTCTATATAAAAAAGATCTAAGGTGAGCTGCTTCGGTTGAAGAGGGAGGACCCAGAGCCCAGCACTCTAGCCACCGTCTCAACCCCAGAGATGAGCCCTTCCGTGGAACACCGGGGTACCCTGGCACTCAGTTTGAAAACCACTGCTCTTTGAGGAAGTGCTTTGTAAGCACCTCAGAGATGCTGAGAATTGTTGCCAGCTGGGTGGATGGCACAGCCCCTGAGCAGCACGGTCCCCGATTAATGGTGAGGAAACAGGGCTACAGGCCATTTCACGTCTGTCCAAGGTCACGCCACAGGTCCATGACCACATGCTTGCCACGGACACCTCTAACCCCAGCTCCTTGCCGTGGCCTCTCGCACTCAGTCTCCTTGATCAGCCCTGGCTGGCCTTTCCTCCACCTCCAGGGCTCAGCACACTACATGGCCCTAGACAGATCCACCCACAGAACCCACTGCTTCCTGTGGGAGCACCGCCCCCATGGAAGGAGAGCAGGGGAGGGCACTCACCTTGGCGTCTCCGGGCAGGCAGAAGGGTTTCTCTGCAAAGGGGAGAGGGGACAAGTCAGGGGCAGTGACTTCCTCGGGCCACGGCTGTTCTAACTAGGAGAGCAGCGTGGGGCCCAAGCAGCACCGGTGGGAGTAGACCCAGCCGAGTGGAAATAATTATCTACCAGACAAGGCACGCAAAGGCCCACACCCTGCCCTCCAGCTGGCTCAACACTGTTCCACTCCCTTCTGTCCCCCCACCTGCCTTCCAAACCTTGGCCCACGCCTGTCCTCACACCTTCCCTTCCCGCACACAGCCCCCCACTGAATCTTACCCAGCTCAAACCCCCCTGCCCAGAGGCCTCCTCCCCCCAGGATGCCCCACAAGAATCCTGGCCTCCTCCCCCTGGGACACCCTCATGGAGCCCTGCCTGTCGGTAGCTAAGTTAGCAGAAGGGTCCTCTCCCAGGTTCTCAGCTCCTACAGCGTCTACGGTACCCAGCTCTGTCTGAGCCCTCGGGCTGTGCCCAGGCCCTGACTCACAGCAGGCACCCGCTTCCTGAACCGATGGGTGAATGAACAAACAGAGAGGGGGAAAGGGAACGGAATCTTACTTTTCTTCTGGGCCAGGATGACACAGTTCAGCAGCCCTATCATTAGCAGCCCCAAGGCTGTCACGCCAACAATGAGTCCTGGAAGGAAAGGAGACGCTCAAACCAGCTGCCAAAAGCACCCTGGCTTCTACCAGGGGCCTGGCCCATCAGTCGGTGACCAATGATGGCTAGGGCGGTCCCAGGCGAGGGGCAAGCCCAGTCCAGAGGTCTGGCATTCAATTACAAAACGAACAACCCCAGAACTGTGTGCCAAAAAAGCTCAAGGGCCCCCAGCCTGACAGTTCAAGCCAGGTGTGGTCCCTAACCCCAGGTGGACATGGCCCCGCCCACTGTCTTCACAGCCTGATGGTTCATCAGAACCAACAACCAGGAGACCACCTCCTCTTTGAGATAAAAGCTGAGCCCAGCCTGGCCGGCGTGGCTCAGTAGTTGAGTGTTGACCTATGAACTAGGGGGTCATAGTTCAATTCCAATAGTTCAATTCCCAGACACAGTTCAATTCACATGCCTGGGTTTCAGGCTTGATCCCCAGTGGAGGGGCCTGTAGGAGGCAGCCAATCCTGATTCTCTCTCATCATCGATGTTTCTCTCTCTCTCCCTCTCCCATCTTCTCTGAAATCAATAAAATATATATATATATTTTTTTTTTTTAATTATTATTTTTTGTTTGTTTTTAAAGCTAAGCCCACCTCTCTCCACTCGGGGTTTCTCGGTGACAGGACCAGGTCCTGGACGAGACAAGTCTCGCTGCCACCTGCCTCCCGGGACGCGAGCATCCAGCCCACAGCGGGCTCTCAGGGAGCCTGAGGGAGGAGGCGGAAGGATGAATGCGCCCTCCTGTGACTTACCAACTGGAAGAGAGATGTTCCCGGTGCTGATCCCTTCGGCCGGGGCACTTGGGACCACAGGGAGCAGGACAGACATGCTAGCAGCTGAGCTGGGTCCTGTCGTGGGCTCCGTGGGCTGGGATTTTGTGGACGCCGCCTGGGGCTTGAGGTCTAAGCTTGTGGTCACACGCGGGGAGGGGAGCACAGACTTGCAGACCGCGTCCCTGCTTGCATTTCCGGGGATGGCCGTCGACTCACAGCTGTGAGAGGAGGCAGCTTGGTCAGGGGGCAGCAGAGGGCAGGATGGCTCGGGAGAGGGGGGAAGGGGGGGCGGGCTCCCTTGTGGGAGACAGCTCAGAGGGCAAGGGTCCCAGCAGCGTGGATGGGGGAATGAGTACATGCCCTGTCATATCTTAGGACCACCCCTTCCTCTCCTCACCTGCCCCTTATCCCCATGCTCCCCACTCAGCCTTGACTTCCAGGTCCTGGGACCCGCCCGCCATGAGATGAGCCCGTGCTGGCACTGAACACGCCTCGGCCACCCAAGGGTGCGAGGGGGAGGGGGTTCTGGCACCATGACACCACCACTGTGTGTTCTAGACCCCCATCACCGGGACAGCCCCTCCCTGCTCCCCCAGAACCAAGGGGCTCAGCCACTCACAACCGATGGGGCCTGCAGGTGTCTGTGGAGGACGCCGTGTCCGAGAATGTCCCTGGGGCACAGGCAGCACACACCACATTTGACATTTTGGTTCCTTCAAGGAAAAAATGGGACCTGTCACCAACTCAGATGCTCCGGGGATGGGGGGGGGGGGGGTGTGTGCTTGGTACTGAAGCCCTAGGGGAAGTCAGAGGACTCGTGGAACCATCTGCATCTCTACTTCCAAACACACACACACACACACACACACACACACACACAAGGACACATGCACGCATGCACGTGCACACACACAACTGGGAGTTTGTCCTTTAACCAATTCTAGTGACTTCCTGGTCTCGGGGTCAAATGGGTTCATCTTCCTGGGGCACCACCTGATTTCCCGGCAGCTGAGGGCTTAATTTGACCCGTTTATCGATCCCCAGAGCCTTGCACACAGCAGGTGCCTAACCACGGATGATGCTCCCAGGCCGAGCTGAGGAGCTGAGGAGCGGATGCCCGTGAAGGAGAGACCCAGGGGGGACCCCGAGGCCAGCTGCCGCCCCCGTACCTGGGGTGACTACGCCGAAACCAGGCGGGCACTTGCGCAGCGGCTCGCACTGCAGGCACCGGTGCTGGATCTTGAGCATGCAGTACCAGCCCGGCCTGCAGTCGCACACGCGGTTCTGCTCCCGGGTGCAGGCTTGAGTTTCTATCTGCTCTGGAGGGTGAGAGGGCAGAGCGGGGTCATTCCTGCCTCCACCAATCCTGCTCACTGCCAGGCCACCCTGCCCTCCCAGCCAGGCCCCACCCACAGACCCCTCTGCTCTCCCGCAGGCTGTGGTCCCTGTCCTCCCCACGGGTTCCGAGGCCCGCAGTCTCGTTCCGCCCCATAGCACAAGCCATGACTATGGCGGACACAGGTCTCCCCGCTGCTCTGGGCCGGCCTGCCTGCCTCGTGGGGCGACAGAAGGGGATTCGGTAAGACAGGATGAGAATGCCCCGGACAGGTAGCAAATGACTGTGCCCACGCAGCCTCATGCCCCCGGCCGTGGAAGCAGCGGGTCTGGAGTACCCCACATCAGCTTTCCGCCACAGGGGCTGGGGTGCAGGTGCCCAGGGGAGGATGCTGGGGGCCACCCCTCGCCCTGGGCCTACTCACCAAAGCTGCAGCGGGAGTCACAGCTCAGGCAGTGGGACACCCAGTTCCAGAGCTGGGTGAACATGCCGTCCTCGCAGGGGGCACACACTGTGTCGGAGGTCTCGGTGCACTGGGAATGGACGTGGTAGCCTGAGGAAGCAAGGGCCGGGGTCTCAGGGGAGGTGGCTGCTGCCCGGACCCTGAGCTCATCCACTGCCCCCCAGAACCCCAGAGTTCGGTAGTGGAGCTGCGAAGGCTCTCTGATGGGGCCCCAACTCCTCCATCGACGCAAGTACCAGCTGTCACGCCATCTCTGAACCCACACTGATCGTTCCAGAAGCCTGGAATCCCACCATCAAAACTGCCTGCCCATCAGTCAGTCACACTTTAGTGAGAACTGATTTGCCAGCTTTCTTCTTCTTTGCATTTGGCTAAAATTCTCCACCTGGGGCCGTCTAAGCTGAAGTCTAACAAAGAAGTAAGGGGTTTCCAGGGAAAAGGAGTTGGGAAGAGGGAACAGCATGTGCGAGGCCCCAGAAGCAAGACGGACCAGAGGACTGATTCGTGGAACTAGAGGGAGTTCAGGAAGAATGGAGAGTTATGACCCTGCCCGCTCCACCCTCATACACACACTCCCTCCCGGGCACCGGCCCCAGGAGCTGGCAGCGTGAGGGCCAGGGCCAGGGCTGCCCCTCACCAGGAGGACACTTGCTGCAGCACATCTGGATCCTCTCGTCATAATATTCTCTCTGCTGGCACAAGCTCCCGGGCTCCGGGACATAGGGGGTGAGCACCACCTGGAGGGGGAAGAAGGACAGCCGTGAGCTTGGCCATGCCCGACACCTAGCCCCCCATCCTGTGTCCCCCAAGCCCCTTCTGGGGCTCCCCGATGGATGGACCGAGGACCTGAGGACTCCTCCCTTTGGGTGGGGGCAAGGAGAAGGTAGAAGGGAGCGTCCCTGCCTCCTTTCACCTCCCCACTTCCCCCCTCAGGGTGGCACACCCATGTCTGCAGGCGGAGACACTGAGCCAGCTGGCCGGAGGGTGAGGCTGGCCCCACCACGATACAGGGCACTGCCCCAAAGTGCTCAGCACAGTGTGGCCCTCTGCCCAGGATGCCTCCTTCTCCCTCCTTCCTGCACCTGGAATCGCCCCTTTGTCCTTCCAACCAGCTCCTGCCTCCTCTGGGAAGCCCTCCCTGCCGCCCCAGGCTGCTTCAGCCCCTCCAAACAGTCATCTCACTGTGCTGAAATGGGGTACCCACTTCTCCCATCTTTCATGGGTGCATGTGCATGTGCGTGCACACACACACCACACATGCACACGCATGTTTGCAATGCACAGGGCAGGGGTGACGGCCTGGCCACCTCTGGACCCTCAGCGGCCAGCGCACAGCCCCCGGCAGAGCTGGTGCTCAGCAGATGAGCGTTTGTTGATGACAGAAACAGCAGCGACCGTTTCCCCAGGCTGCCAGGCTTGGTCTACATGTGGCAGGTGCTCTGGGCGGACCCCCCAGAGCGCCCACCCCCAGCTGCCACGGTGCTGCCTGGGAGACCCGGCCCAGGGGGATGGCTGCTGTGGTGGAGTCCATGCTCTGTCCCTCGGCCATCCTGCTGCAGCTGGGCCCGCGGCTGGCCTCTGCATTGAGAACGGAAACCCAGCTCCCTCCCTTCTTGGCCCGACAGGCAGTCCCACAGCCGTCCTGGCTCCTGGACACCCCCACTCCCACCCCCACCCCGGGGCCAGGGTTTCCAGCTGCCCAGCAACCTGCAGCTCCTCCCCCACAGCCTGGAAAACCTCTTGCTTGCCTGACAAATCCCCACTGTCCCTCTGACAGTGGGCTCTGCCTCAAGGCTTCCCTGCCCACAGCCCACCCCGAAGACTCACTAGCACCCTGAGTCCTGACCTTCCTCTCTCAGGGTCCTGGCACACAAGGCTGTACCCACTGAACGGATGCCCTCTGAGGCTGATGCCGCCACCGCCCAGAGCCTGGCACATCCTAGGTGCCCATGGCTCACTAATCCACGCAGCCAGCGTCACCTCAACGCCATTTCCCAGAGGGATCGGGCCCTGCACCAGGACATTGAGCCCCGACATGGGAGCACCCAGGACGCTACCAGCTGAAGGCCTTCCCCCGCTCAGCCCAGGCCCTCAGCCCCCGCAGTCAGCTCTGTGAGGGCGGGAGATGCGCAGGCGCTGGCAAGAGACGTGGGAACCATCCTGCACAACACAGAGTCTAAAAGATAACTCCCGTTCCCGTCTGGACTGTAAGCTCCCATGCCACACACACACACACACACACACTCCATCCCCATCCTTCCGTCCGCCTGGTACCTGAATGAGAGGAAAGCAAGGCCCCACACGCTGGGGTGGGCTCACTGCCCGTGTCCAACGCCCCTGGCCTAGTGCTGACTCCCTCCCAACAAAGAGGGCATAAGAAGCTCAAGGGTGGGCCTGGGAAGCTGCCAAAGGAGAAAAAGAAAACCTCCCAGGTGCTCCTGACGCTCCACTGCCCAACACACCTGGTAGGTGGACACTGCAGAGGCAGCAAGACGACCTGGGGGAGGGGCACACGGGGGAGATCAGGTGATCAAAGATGGGGCGCCCCGCCACCAGAGAGCATACCTCTGCAGCGCCCTTTGCACTGAAGCAGAGGGCCTGACTGTCCCCCATGGCCCCCCAACACGGCCTTCCCTGTGGGCTGCTGCTGCTGTGCGGAGCTTCCCCAGGGGAAGCGGCTGTGCCCTCCACTCAGAGCGTGCCCTAGGCGGGCGGGGGCCATGCAAGGTGGCCCCAAGGATCTCATGGACCTGCATCCCCACGAGCGCCCAGGCAGTAACTAGGGGAGCCCCATTCCTGTGCGGCCAGAGGACCACAGGACCACAGCCCCCCCCCCCCCCCCCCATATGCAGCCCAAGGGAGCCTGGGGGAGGATTTCCTGTCAGGCCCAGAGAGCCTGATGGGAAAGGGCCTGCCTTGGCCACATGTGGGCTCTCTCTCCACCCACAGGCTGAGGGTTCCTGGGCAAAGACCAGCAGCTGAACCCCACGGCCCCCAGCCACTGCCCGGCAGCCTCCCATAGGGGACCAGGCCTGTCTGAGTGCCCTTCCTCCCCCAAACCCCCCACTGCTCCGTGTGAAGGGGGTGGGTCCTCTCTTGAGCAATTTCTAAGCCTGTTTATCCTCTGGGACAGAAAAAAAAGAAGAAGAAAAAAAAAACCACAGCCCTGTCATGGCTAAACAATGAGGAACAGAAAGCCCCTGGCGGAGCAGGACAAAAGGTCACTCCCTGCACTGCAGGCCCCCAAGGCAGAGGCGACAGGGTCGGAGCCGGGTTACCGCAGGGGCCACACGGGCAGGCGGGGGTCCCTGGAGGCCCCCAGAATGTGGCGAGCAGCCTCTGGGAAGTGTGGGGCTATGGAAGCTTCCAGTGTCTTTGGTTGGTGTTGGGGAGGCTTCAAGCCACGCGCCCCCCGCCCCCTCAGGGGAGTGCTGACTGACATTTTAAAATGAGGAACTAAGTGGAGAGTAGTTGACTCGCTCAGCATGTTTGGCAGATCCGAGCTTTCAAAACACAGGGCCCAGGAGGAAGCCTGGAAACTATGGATGGGCGTTAACCACCATGTGACAGGTGGGCAATGGGTGCCCAGTGAGGGTGGGGGATTAGAGAAGAGAGAAGATGATAGATGATTGATAGATAGATAGATGACAGACAGATAGATAATAGATACATACAGAGATACCCAGATAGATTGGTTGATAGGGAATAACAAATAAAAGGAGGATAGGAAGGAAGGAGGAAAAGGACGAAAGGAAGGACCATCTAACATCCACTGTGTGAGGCAGGTCTGATTGTGCCCATTTCACAGACGCGGAAATGGAGATAGAAAGAAGCAAAGCCACCTCCTGCTCTCCCACAGGCTCAGGGCCATTCAGGGTTGGTGGCGGGCTGATGGAGGATGTGCACAATAGGCTATCAGGGCCCACCCCTCACCCACCACAGGCCTTAGAGCTGCCTCCCGTCAGGGCCTGTGGCCTGTTTCCTCTCTAGCCTTGGCCTCTGTCCTCCTCGGGCGGGAGTCCCCTGCACCGAGCGCTGGCCCTTCGGGGAGGAAGGGAAACAATGGGTATTTCTTAAACACCTCCCCGTGTGGCAGGTGAGGTTGCAGGCACTACACAGAACCCCACTTCTGCCCCCAAACGTCGGTGGGCGTGTGCCGATTTCACAGTCAGGGAAGCCGAGGCCAGACCGCTTGTCTGAGTTCATCCAGGAAGGAGGAGGAGGAGGAGGTGGGCCTGGGATGTGACTCTTGCCCCGTCCCACTGGAGAAATCTTTGGTCCCCTCGGGACAGCTGAAGGAAGCGGCTCTGGGATCCACCCTCCGCCTTCGTCCCTGAGTCACTGCAGTCTACGTCTGTGACAAGCGGACACCAGGGCACTGGCTCCTGAGAGGGCCCGTCCTCGGCCGGCAGCCCCACAGCGGGAGCAAAGGCAGGAGTCTGACCCGCAGCTGTGCCAGGTGCTAGAAAGATGGCAGGGAGCCAGGAAGGGGGCGGAGGCCCAGAAGGGGGGCGGGATTGAGGTGCAGCACTCGGGGACCTTAAAGACATTTCAGCGACTTCCCATTTAATCGTGGAGAAAGTCAGGGGCAAAGGTGAAAACATACATTCATTCATTCACTCATTCACTCATTCATGTGTGCTGAGCACCTGTTATTCTAGGTGCTGGGCAGACAGCATTGAGCACGTCCACGTCCCTGCCCTGGGGAGCTGAGCTCTGGTGGGGAGATGGAGACACACATGGCAGAAACATGTGAGGTGGCAGCGGGAGCCTGGCAAAGAGGAAAAGCAAGGTGGGGCCAGGAGCAACAGGCAGAGGTGCTGGGTGTGCTGGGTGCGCTGGGTGCAGCCAGGAAGCCAGGGCATCGGGGCCAGAGCAGGCGAGGGCGAGGGTGCGGGGAGATGAACACGGAGGCACGCAGCACCTCCTCCTGAAGCTGGCTCCCCGCAGACACCGTGCAGCGTCATTCACGTGCCGCCCTGTCTCTCCGAGTCCTCGTCCCAGCTCTGGGCCATGGGTATTACCACTGTTTCCCAGTCACGTGAGAAAACTGAGCCTCGGAGCGGCTCCTCACCTCCGGCCTAATTTCTTCCCCAGCATCAAGCTGACACCTGTGTGTCCCCCACCACAAAAGACTGGATTTCAACCCCAGGCCCACCCCGCAGACCTCCCCTCCCCTCCGCAGACACCCCTCTATGGTGGGCATTGCCTGCCTCGGTGTTCTCATCTGTAAAATGGCAGCAGCAGCCTGGCTGGTGCTCTCAGCCCTCTCCAGCTTCCGCTTCTTAAACATGGGTGTCAACACGCTCAACCCCTCCCGAGACCACAGGCGTGCGGGGTGGGAGGGCAGCCCACCCACAGGAGGTGGAAAAACTGAATGAGTTGGAGGTGGGGGGGAGGGGGTTGGGGAAGGAGGCCAGGCTGAAAGTGGGTGTGGAGTATGGCTTCCGTGCCCCAGCCTCGGCCCCTCCTCCCCTCTCCCAGGGCGAGGGCACCCTGGGCAGGTGGCCTGGGAGGAGAGAGCAGCGAAGGCTGCCCGCCCAGGTACACAAACAGCTGGCATCGCAGGAGCAGCACCCAGGTCAGAGGCCCTGGCACACATGCTGGTGATGTGACCTGCTCCCTGCGCCTCGACACTGTTAACCCATGAGACGGTGCCAGGCGCTCTGCCCTGCCTCCTCCTGGGGTCGCTGCAGCAGCCAAGGCAGTGGGTCCATCACCTTCTCCCAGACTCTCG